GGGGGGGGGCGCACCACGACGCACTGAAATGGGGGGCCTATCCGCCGGCTGAGATAGTATGGGGCCCGCCAGCCGCTGTGAGGAGGGAGCCGCAGAACGAGGCACTGAAGACAGCCCTACAGGCACATCATGGGGCCTCGGAAGGCAGTGAGGACCCAGCAAACAGAAAACACACAGGAAACAGATGAAGACAGAAGACTAGCCAGAAGAGGTAATTATTATTTGTAGCCTAATGTTGTATAAAGTACTGTTGCAGCAATGCACAATGGGACCCTCTATAGAGGACTACAAATCTCAGCAGTACTTTATACAGAAATGCTATTGTTATATAAAAGTATTGTTGGGATGTGTAGTCCTCTATAGCCTGTGGCATTCTGCATTGCTGTAAATATTAGGTCTGCACCGATATATCGGCCGCCAAAAGATATCGGAAATGGCACTTTTGGCATAATGCCGAAAGTGCAATTTTTCAGCTGATACAGCGGCACATCCCTGTTTACCTTCCTCCCCGCTGGGCGCTGCTCTGTGTCCCAGCGGGGAAAAGAGAAAAGGGACAGCCGGCCGAGCGCTGCGGGAGGAGAGCGTTGTGTTTTGTTTTTTTGGGGGTGCCCCCCCCCCAAAAAAAGTCTTGCACCAGGGCCCTTTGTTCCTTAGGTCCGCCACTGGGCTCAGACACACCTCTGTTCTAAGATATGAACGTAGCAAGGGTTGAAAACATTTATTGGATTCACCTTGTGTTACAAAATACTAATGCTGTTTTAATATTTCTGCATGCAACAGGCTTCCAATGGAGACTATAAATGGCCGCTTTAACACACTTTATATTGGCATTGCCCACTGTTGTCTCCCATCTGCAAACCCAGCTGAGAAATGCTATGCAGCTATCGCGGGTGTACATACACGTAGACAAGGAGAGGCTGCAGATCAGCAGTACAGAGAAAAAAAATCAGATTTTTGTACTCACCACGAAATCCATTTGTTGGTCTATTCAGGAACACAGCTTTATGGTAATAAGAAATCAAGGGTTATACTGTCACCTACAAGAGAAATGGAAGCAAGTATCATGGAAACTGAAGGGTGGCCCTCTAGGAAGCAATAACCCCTTGCACCTGCTCAGTAACAAGCAGTCCAAAGAGGGGAGGGGGCTGTGTCCTAAATATACTCAGAAAATAAAAGCCTTCAAAAGAGGCACAGTCATCTTGCTCATCCAAAGTGACAGCGTCTGTGAATTCCCCACCACCAATACTCACTTTCCATTGATCTCCTGCCGTTCCTTCCTTTATTGCAACTAAAATATCCAGTATCGGAATCCAGAGAGAGCAGTGATATCATGGGGGGGGGGTGTATTACAGATATATACTGTATTACATAGCATTCTTGGCTGGTTATTACCATAAAGCTGGTAGGATTTTTTTTTGTACTTGTGTTGGAGTACCAGAACACTACACTGTAAAATCAGACATTAACTTTTTTTTTTTTCCTTTCAATAGAGATGGTTACAACCCAAGGCAGTCCAACTAAGGGAGGAGAGTAACAAAGCAAACAGCTCAGACAGAAAAACAAAAACAGTTGGGGGGAGGATGCATATTGACAATCATTCTATATATTACTATTCAGTTGTATTTATTGAAAACTTAATTTATCACACCACATAAATATAAAGACAGACATCTTTAAAAAATACTAAAAACCACGGCTTGATATATAATATTGAGCAGGCCTCAAAATTTCCACTCGCCCCCTCACAATTAGCGAGTGAAAATTGCGTGGGGGGCCAGTGGAATGTCATCGAGGGGGGTACGCTGCCGGCAGGACCAGGGATGGGACACTACCGCCACAGTGATCGCTCGCTTCTGATCTCCTTTCTCCTCCTCGGCCGCTCTTTAGCTGCAGCAGCCGAGGAGAAGAATCAGTTTGGCTGTCTTCACTTCGGCACTTTCGGCCACCTGCAGCTTCCTCCGCCCACCTAGGCTGCCAAAGGCTGGGAGGAAGACTGCAGAGACACTATTGGCCTGGCCAGAAAGTTCTGCAGCGTGGGAACTCAAAAGAAAGTTTAATCTCGGTACATGGAGGATCTCTGTAGCCCCAGCCCCCGATAACTTTTGAGGCCTGGCTAGTAGCTCAGCACTTTAAATTTTGAGCCCTGATATAGAGTAAAGCAGTAGTAGTGTTCCGAACCCAGCATGCTTGTGTATATAGCAACACATCTACCAAGTGGAAACCATTTGATAAAGCAACCAAAATCAGAGATATGTTTTAACTAGGGATGTTCAGATACCAAGTACCGTAGTTGGTACAACTACATGCACACAAACATTTCCAGCTCCAAGACTAGAGAAAAATTCAAAAGTTAGGAGGCAGCTGTCATTTTTTTTTTAAAAAGGAGCACACGGAGCTCCTGGGATTTGTACATCTGTTTTAATGTATGATTTAGTTTTAATAAATATAGGAATGCACCATTACCATTTTTTTCAAGTGCAAGTACTGATACTTGTATCTGTGAGTACTTGGACAAGTACTGATACAATTTTGTTATGGTCATGTGACAGTTTTTCTAAAACAATACAGACTAATGATTTCAGGACAGTGGTGGCACGCCAGAGCCAGGTCCCAGCTGCAACCCTGGTAGTTCTTGTTAAAATGCCAAGTATCGGCACTGGTATCTGACCATCCCTAGTTTTAACATATATGGAGGGGTATAGCCTCAAGGGGGCTGACCGTCAGTTTTTCATGTCCCTAGTTTCCATTTATTCTATAGGCAGCAGTGTAGGCCTAGGTTTCTTACCAAACCTTGGACAATGGATGATACAGAAAAGTCAACCTACTCCCAGCATAAAGTTGCAGCATTAATATTTTTGGACACCAAGGTTGTAGACTGAAAAGCCTATGGACCCTAATGTTTAATTTGGAATTTGTTGCCATCTTCCTACTGCCACATACTCTTTACATTTCTATGTTGTCAGTAACAGGCAATGCTGGTATTACAACGATTAGCTTACATACTAGATGTGGGTATAGGACTTCCTTACTTGCTGCATTCCATTTCTCATTCGACAAAAGGCATCAACCCCCTAAACGGTAGCAAAGTGTTGTGTTACATCCTGTCCAATAAATTATAGAATTCCAAAAACAGCGGAGCTTCAGATGGTATTTTGCGTGTAGATTTTGAATCTATTAAAAGACCTCAGACCCCAATTTCAATAGTTTGAGTATCAGGGAAAGATTGTTAGAAAATGGTTGCAGTGGAACACCCTCAAATTTAGGCTATTGGTTAATTCACATCATTATTCTCCAACAGTTTCACTAAAATAAAAACAGGAGTACATATTTTATTCAAGAAAAGCACAGGAAAAATATTAGAAGTCTGTTGAACAAAAGTTGTTAAAGGGTCCTTCCAGTAAAGTAAATAGAACTTCCAATTTTTTAGGCAACCTTATTTCAAATATTAAGAGAAATTCTGTGTCAGCCATTGTTAACATGTCCTAAAAATTATAGCTGCCTGGCTGTCCTGCTAACTTTGTAACAGACATCAATGCGTTTGAATCAGTGGCTCAATAGGTATGCTGATCAGGACTGCTGTGGCTGCATACCTGTTCTAGGTTAAATCTCAATATGTATTCAAGTCATAGGAACAGCATTTCTACCAGGCAACTAGAATTGGCAGAAGGTGGAACCACCACCCTATTACCAATGCTCACTACACAAGCTGACGGTTTGCCACAAGCGGTTACCTTGCATAGTACTGAAAAACACTAACTGGTAACCTAACCAACGGTCATTCATATGATTCAATGGGGTCACCCAATAATAAAGTGCAAATTCACCCACAGTAACCAACCAATCAGAATGCCTCTTATACTGTACTCAAGTGCTTTTACAGAAGTAAAACACTGATCCTAAAAAGTTGGATCATGTGACCAAATCATATTTTGCTTGGATGGGAACACACCTAAGTACAAAATCAAACTCTCACCTCAGCCATCTATTAAATACATATGTGAATGGTGTAATTTGTCCTTTTCATGGTTTAAAGCAGACCATGTCCTATACTAAATGATCGTAGTTTCTTGTGGATCTACCATAAACTATGTAGGTCAAGTAGGGCTGCAGCTAACGATTATTTTCATAATCGATTAGTTGGCCGATTATTAAGTTCGATTAATCGGATAATAAAAAAAAAGGCTCCAGTGATTGACGACTAGTTTGTGTTAAGATTGTAGTCCATCACGGGAGCAAGCTTGGCGCGGTGGAAGTAAAAAAAAAGTGTGGTGTGCAATATAGTACATTATACAGCGGCGCAGTGCAGAATACCAGCAGCTATAGAGGAATGTAGCAATAGTACATTATACTATAATGTACTTCAGCGACGAGTGAGGGAGATCGCGTCAGGAAGTAGAGCAGCGGCGTGCGCGGCTTCAGCGTCCTGTGCGCTGGGCGTGGCTTACGCGGCCTGTGCCGTGGGCACGGCGGCCGCAGCGGGAGCAGCGTGTGACGTGTGGCTCAGGCCGCATGTGGAGCCCGGAACAGCCCCGAACAGGCAAATCAATCGATAGCCGACGAATCGACGATTGAAAACGTTGCCAACGTTTTCAATCGTCGATTTTAATCGACTAAATCGATTAACTGTTGCAGCTCTAAGGTCAAGGGCCCATTTGGTATGATACAAATTGTAAGCATGTTTTAGGTTTCCCCTCATATTACATAGTTTTGGTAAATCTAAATGAGATTTTACAATCAGATTGTATAGTGCACATGTGTCAAACTCAAGGCCCAGGAGCTGACTCCGGCCCACCAGGCCATTTCCTAGACTTCTACTTTTTGATCTAGGTATTAAGTTATTACTAAAACCAGTGATAATTGAATGCAGAGGCAATTATTATAAAGATTAGATACATTTATATAGTCTTACAGGCCCTTTGAGGGCAACCATAATGTTGATGCGGCCCACGATTTGACACACCTGGTATAGTGCATTGCACTTTAGCAGTAAATGAGACAACCCCACTATGTGTTCCCATTCATAAAGCATACCTAAAATTAATATTTCGTACCTTTTTGATTTTCTTTGGAGAAGCCAGGAGGCTATTCTGAACAGTTTAAATTGTACAATCCTTGTTTTATTGATTGCATGTAATAATCTACTTTTTTGAGGTTGTGGATTTGGGGTTCTTGGGGTTTTCATGAGCTGTAAGCCATAATCATCACAATTATGACAAATCACGGCTTGAATTATCTTGCTTTGCATGTAATGAGTCTATCTTATATATTAGTTTCACCTTTTAAGTTGCATTAGTGAAATAAATGAACTTTGCATGATATTCTAATTATTCGAGTTTCACCTGTATAGTTCACAACTGAGAACTTTCAGCACAGGACAGGGTTAAATATAGAAAACTTCTCACAATGCCACCCTTGACATAAGGGGGCAAGCCGAAATGGGTTTTACTGGTAAAAATCCCATTGAAAAAGGCAGAATTTTTTTTTTTTTTTTTTTTAAAGTTATGCTATGTGAAGGTGTCATCAGAATTTGCCTGCAAAAGTAGAAATACACCAAGAGTAAGCATCCAAGACCCTTATGAAAATTCCACTGGAGTTATTGCATTGAATCGCCCCAAGAACACCAAACTAAAACAGATTTTGAATAAATGAGGTTGCTCCGTATACATAAAAAGATGACACGCCAATGTTAAGGCAACTGCTATGAAAGCAGTAATTGTTATTTAATTGTAATATAGTATGAAAGTTGCTCGAGACTAAGCATTACCATGCAAGCTCTTGCAGATATTACAAAACTAGAATGACAGACCTTTGTCATGGTAAACAATGCTTTATATACAAAAAAAACATAAACCGGTCATGTACAATATACAGAAGTACACTTTACTGCTCCTAAAGTAAAAAAAAAAAATTATAAGGAACACAAGCAACTTCCATTTCTGTATGTATACAAGCTTAGGTGATTTATAGCCCATTGTAACAGCACACACAAGTGTAGTCATGTATTCCTATCCTACTACTGGAGTACCAGCCATACTGTCACAGGCATTATACTTCTTAATAAATACAACAGTTCACCAATTACACTGTCCAGCATCTGCCAATTGCTTATTTATTGCTCACAATAATTTGAATTCTTTACAATTGGTATCAGACCTCACAAGAAACCAAGTCAGACATTTTATATAAAACCTATAAAAGATATTTAAACTTTGTATCTAATACTTTTAAAGGTAATTGGCTGTTTGACCTTAATGAGATGGTGCAGCCAATTTATTATATAAAATAACAATATGAATAAAATAGGAAGCTTATTTACTGCTTTGAAGCAGACATTTGCACAAGACTTGCCGCCACCATCATTACTTACATTTAAATAAAAAAAAAAAAAAACGACCAGAAAATATTGTCCATATTTCCTGCCTCAAACAAAACCAGATAGCCCCTGCACTTCAGCTGTAACAAAATCACTATCTACAGCAGCAGAAGTCGCCCTCAAAATTTACAATTATAATATTAGGGTATATAATTATATATGACAAAAATAGTGTGCAGGATCCCATAGGAATTCAATAAATTATCCGCTTTTCATTTTAAGAAAACAGTCATCTAGTTCACAATGCATGAACGTCCAAAAAGGTAAAAAAAAAAAAATCTATAAAGACATTGTACGCCGCTGTAATAACACTTGACATTTCTTTGTTTTTTTACACCTGTATTGTCCTTTGGATGCATACTCAATTTCTCATACAACTTGAACTGTCACTGGAAGTGTGATATACTGAAGATCCGGGAGGGAGGAAAAAAAGAAAAAAAGGAAGACAGATGCAAGTCAGGACCCCACCCCTGCTGCAAACAACAGTCAATGACGTAAAGATTTCTCACGACTGAGAATTTGATGTGCCACCACGAAGATTTAACTGCGACATAGAGTTCATGTGTTTGTTTAACGGCTTCAGAGGAGTGTTGCATGTGATGGCCTGTGGAAATCGATGGTGATATCGGTCTAGTCGCAGGTATTTCACAGTCACTAACTTTCCTGCAGGAGAATAAATGGTAATGCATTAATTTGACTAAAAGGGGAATGAACTAAAACTGGAGCAGCCGTGCATGGCAACAAACCAATCAGCTTCTATCTTTCATTTACAAAGCTTAACAAGCTGAAAATAGAATCCGATTGGTTACTATGCACAGCTGCTCCAGTTTTAGTAAATTCCGCTGTGTTTCATCTGCCATAAATGCTTCTCCCTGCCAGCAATTTTTTCTGTCAATACGTACTAAGCAATACAGGTGCAGCTCCATGCAGTCAGCACGATTTTGTGCCGAGAAAGTAAATCCTGTACACATGCACAGGAGTTACAACAAGAGCATAACGAGACAGCCCAATCCCACCGCATTAAAGGAAACCTGCATGAGGAGAAATATTTAGGTTACTACTGCTGATTTTTCTTTCTGAAAATAATATTTGTCCATTTTTCAAGTGGAACAATGGCTTTAACACTTTAGGGGTACAATGTACGTACATCAGTTATGCTTTCACTGGATGCATGATTTCACAAAGTACTGAAGGCAGAGGTGGCCATGCAACCAGTAGTTTTCAAGAGGTCAACTGAAAAGGCAGCATACAAACTTTTCCCAGTAAGGGTTTTATTTAACCTCCCTGGCGGTATGATTTTTTATTTTTCTCATGTCATTTTTCGGTCTATTTTAATATGCCGCCGGTTCCGCCCCCCTGCGATGCGTACGCTCGCAAGTGACGGAACCCAGAAGCCAGCATCGGCCGCAGAACACAGCACGGCTCGAGGGACAAGGTAAGTAAATGCTATGCGGCATTCCCGAGTGTAGCTCGGAGTTATTGCTTATGGTGTGGAAGAGTAACCCTGAGCTACACTCGGGAATACCGCCAGGGAGGTTAATGAAGGATTGGGCAGAAAAGCTGTGTTCACCGCTGAGCAGAGTGAAAGTTATCCAATAGTTCCTGGGCACATCACCTGGCTTTGTCACAGGACAGTCACGCCATTCGCCACTAGTACCCAAACACTTCTTTCTCAGCACAGCTCTGCATCAATGCAGGTAACAGACTTTGTATCAGACTCTAAGGGGGAAGGAAGCTCACAACCGTACTGCAATGCAACCCTGTTCAATATAAATTAACAGGCCCGCACCAGTTCTATATGTTGGGTAACTTCCGGTTATTCAGGCGGGGAGGACCTGTCAAATTTAATTTCCTTATCTCATCTCACTATTTTTATATAGTAACACAAATCAGATTTATCCTAAAAGATCCCAATAGGTAGCATTTAAAATAATTGTGTTTCTTACCATCAAACCAGGATCCATGTAGTGCCTTAAAAGCTTTTCCTGCATAGTCTGGGGTTAAGCATTTTACATAAACACATCCCTGGGAACAAAAAAACAAAAACCAAAAACATCAATGCTCGTCAAGAAGAGACTAGAGCAGCACATTGAGAAAAATGGTAAAAGTAGTTACCTCTCTGGAATTTTTATCCACCGCAATGTGAACTATCCCTTCATTATCATTGCATTTTTCCAAAATCGCTTCTTGAATTGCTAAATGCCAATGATCGCCAATTTCACTGTAACAAAATGACTCATCAATACTTTATATTAATGCATATAATATATCTATTTTTGAAGAGGGCTATTTAATTTTTTTTCTAAATGTTAAAATGGCAATATACTTACATGACTGGATCGAACATATTGCGTATCTTTAAACAGGGGGTCAGGCTATTTGGAGGAGAATTTCTTTTATCCAGATGGAAAGCTAAAGACACAAAAGGACATATTAATCTATTTTGTAATGTGCTTAGTAATAGATTCTTATTATTCTGATTCATACTTAAAGTGATAAACATGAAATAGTCATATGCAGCATTTCACAATTAACTCTTTCGAGCAGCAGTATGCACATTGTGTGGGGGCAATTTACCAAAATTGGAGCAGTTGCCCATGGTGACCAATCAGCTTTTATTTACTCAGTTAAGATTTGAAAATGAAAGGGTTGCCGATTGGTTGCCATGCACAGCTGGTCCAGATTGTCTGCTCCAATTTTGACAAATTCCTTTCCATGTTTTTTTTAAAGTTTGCACACCACTCTGGTAGATGCAACAGTCTAATCTTTTAAATGATCTATGGCTGAAGACTACACTGAAATTAAACTCCTAAGGCCACAGAGACTTTCTCTGTGCACCGCTTCAGCAACCATTTCTCTATGGCGATTGGAATCATCATGTTAAGTTATTTGCTCCTTCTAAGCACTTACTATCCTTGTATCAGTTTGTTGAGAATTTTGTATGGAAGTGGTCCCATTCCCACTGCGGATCTGACCATGTCCCATTAAACGTATTAGAACAGAGAGAAATTCCTCTGCTCTAACAGCCCACAAGGTGGTGTATTTTGTAGCCATCACCTTTGCAAGGCGAGTGTCTGAACAACCTTATCCTGCAAGGAATCCCTTTTTGGTTTTGCATAAAGACAAGGTGGGGTTGAGACCCAGGACTTCTCTCTCACTCAAGGTAGTTTCTGCCTTTCACTTCAACCAAAAATTTGTTCTTCCATTCCTCTTCCTGGCTCCAGTTCACCAAAAAGGAAAAATGTCCCTTTACTGTCTGAAATGTGGTTTGGGCCAAGTCTAGCTCTCATCCCAGATAGACCCTAAAAGGGTGTACTGGCTTCTTTTCACCATCTCTAGGTGGTTAAGGCAGACCATCCATGCCTATGGTCTTAAGATCAGTTTTGACCCTTTCCTGACAAGGCGTGCTTTACTAGATCTGTGAGTGCTTCTTGCATTTTTCATCATTAAGCTGCTCTTATGTTCACACATTCTCCAGGGTTTACCAAGTGGAGACTCCGGCCACATCGGATGCCAAAGGCAAAAATTAGACTTTTTTTGTTCTCCTGGGTCTGCACACAGTAAACAAAACGCTGAAATCTCACAGGTTTAAGAGACTTCCTGTGTACCTCAATGGATGATAAATTAAAATTTTGTACTCAAGCTCTTTTCTTGGAGTCCATTAACCTGCACCTGGTACTGCTTTCCTACAAAACTGCTGGTAGGTGGAAGGGTTTTGGTGGGCTGGCTGGACAGTAGTAGCATAACTTCTCTAACAGGATGCATGCGTCGAAAATGAACTAAAAAGAGAACCCCCCTCCCAAAAATGAAATACCACAACACACGTTACCTTGTCCTTGCCATACTTTTGAAGGTATGGCTGAGATTTTGTCACATGAAGAAGGCTGAATCCATTTCCACACAAGGAAGTTTGTTCCTGCTATTTTCTGTGTTTCAGTCCGTATACGAGATTCATTTGCAGCCACAAATTCAACTGCCCGTTTCCAAACGCTGTTCATTTTTTTCCTAAAAAAATTAAAAATGGCAGAACCAAAAAAAAAGGAATTAAAAATAATATTTTTGAAGAACAGATTACCAATTTATAACGGTCTTTCAAGGGGGAGAAAAAAACCCACACACGCTTTTACCAATACCAAAATAAAATAATACCAAATACTCACAGTAAATGGCAATTTGTTTGCTTAATTCTTCACTGGAATGCTACCTACATAAATAAGCAAAATCTGAAATGCCCTCTTGTACCATGCTAGTTTTTCAGCATGCATTCTTGCTAACCAATAACCATGGCAAGTTTGATTGTTACTCACCCAAACCGCCTGAGCTGGCTGCCTCCTTCTCTGGTCACAGAGACCTCTCTCCTCATATGCTGCAGCATTGGAATGTTCCTCAGTATCCTCACAACTATACACTGTGTACAGAACATGATGATTTACAGGACCTTAGACTGCTGCAGCAGAGGGTGAGAGAGGCTCCAGGGGGACCAGTCTAAGAGCAAGCCGGCCCCAAGGATCCAATGAGTAGAACTTATCTTTAGCACCTAGGACACAAATCAAGCACTTGAACTTTGCAGCGTAGGGGTAGCACCACTGCAAGGCTTAACAAAAATTGTGCTTAGAGTTCTGCTTTAAGGATACAGTTATGACCGTTGAGAATTGAATGATCTTCCCCTTTCTCTACCCCCCCCCCCCCCCCTCGGGGAACATTCGCACCCACCA